CCCTCGGAAAGTTTGCCAGTTATAAAGCTCCATTGAAAAAATTGGAAACCTATCCCCATTTACAGTGGAGACATTTCTGCATTCTCACTGAAATCGGAGGCAGCTGGTGGCATGAATCAGGCTATGAGTTCTATGAATCGCGGCATCAAATGGCTCTTAAAGGGATATTGCAGTGTGTGTGTGTGTGTGTGTGTGTGTGTGTGTGTGTGTGTGTGTGTGTGTTTAACAAAAGGATCTTTTGGTGTTCTGGCACCTGGCACCTGGTACTTTACAATTCTAACTGGTTTTATGCTCTTCAACCTTCCTAGTTGTTCATCTTCCCAGATATTCCATGCAAGTCCCCCCCCCACCCCCCGCTTTCATCTTAAAACCCAGCTCCTGGTACTATTTTTATTCCTTATAAATATTAATGCTGCTAAAAACACAAAAAAGTAAAAAAAAAAAAAACTCAGCTGATGTGTTAAGTCCCTAAACACCTCTCTTAACACTAATTTTCTTTTAATGGAGAAGCATTTCTATTTGTTTGCATTTTGCAAAATCACCTAACAACTTTGCTGCATCTGGGGCCAATTACCTGGTGTGGGAGCCACAAACAAGCCGTCAAGGTGCCCAGGTGCTCTATTCATCTGCCTATTGCCATTTTAAGTCTACTCTCAAAGTACATTTTCCTTTCTCCCAAGAAAAATGAAATAATAATGCCAATTTTTAAGAAATGAAAAGTATGCCCCTCCTTATGAAGTGAACAGCTGATTACCAATCAGTGATCTAAATCCCACCCTACCACTCACCGCCCCAACCATGCCCAACTGAATAACAGTTGCGTGTCTCTACCCGTGCACAGTCCTCCCCTTGAAACAACCCTCCCCTGCAGCCAATTTCCCACCTACCACAGCTAACAGTTCCAAACTCACTTCTTCCCTGACTACCACCCTGCATGGATAGAGCTAGAATTGCATCTCTTACTCTCCTTGTAATATCTCTTAGCATGAATTTCCAGCTCCCCTACAGCGTGCAGAATCCAGGTCTTTGTCTTTGGACAGCAGGCACCTAGCACAATGCCAGTTAGCTATAAGTGTTGGTTGAAATGAATTTTATCAAAAGGCAAGGCAACTTACTAGCAAAGTTCTCCCCTGGAAGTGTCCCTAACGGGTCTTGCCTCACTCAGATACAACACTAAAGAGACTCCCAAGCACTTTCCCGGGCCCTGTCTCATGAGCTTTTCAGCTTAGGGATGAGGTAAGCATTTATGTATAAATGAAGAGAAAAGCAGTTAAGCAACTTGGCCAAAGTCACACTGGTGATCTGGATAAGACCCAGACTCAATCTTGGGCCCAAGATTTTTTCAGTTGTATTCCACTGGACTCTCCACCAGGTCTATTATACCATACCAGCAGCTCCCAGAGCTGGCTGCACCCCAGAATGACCTGCAGCGTTGTCAAAGCTGCCAATACCCATACCTCACCCTGGGCCAATTAAGCCAGAATGTATCTTGGGGAAAAGCACTGGTGCTTGAATTTTTTTTTTTAATTTCACGTAAAGTCATGGGCTTTTAAATTATCTTTCACAGGATTAATTGCTTTGGCCAAATGCCTGGGCATGATATGGGCATGGCCCCAGCTTCTTCTGGGGGCTCTTTGTTACTGCCTTCTTCTGTTGAAGTTAATTCACCAGATGGTGTTGGGCATGATGTGACATCTCTTGGGGTATCCTTCTCATCATCTGCTCCCCCCAATAAAACGATGCCATAGAAGGGATCTGTATGGTTCCCTTCCAACTTTTAATCTCACAAAGGGAATCTTGGTGTTGTGCAGGTTGGAATGAGGAAAAATAAATGGAGCAGACGGAAAATGTCATTCATTCCACAATCCTAGACACACACAGGCATCTTGATGCATCCGTGATAGTCTGCTCCTACAGTGCAGCCTATGAGATCCAAGCTCTATATATTACTTTTGACATTTTGAGCAAATGTAGCTAAACTTTTTTTTGAATAACTGGAGGATAGATAACAGGTGTCAGGAATTGTACAGCCGGTGCCTGGCGTATAGGAAGCCAAGAGCAGAGAGTGTGATGAGGAATGAAAGCTGCCACTTAGATTCTTTTGATTCACAGCGCCTAAAGCAAGCAAGCAAGCATATGCTCAAGCCTATTACATGAAAGGAGATATTTGCTTCATATGTGTGAAACTGTTTGGATATGCAAACAGAGGAGAACAAAAAGCTTCCCAGTCCTCCCTCCCACGCTGACCAGTTGCCTTCCACACATGGTGCTGAGCCTCTGGGCTAGCTGGGGCTGTCAGCTGCCAGCCTTGACAGCACTGGCCTTAGGAGACTCAAAGTCTCCTGGATGCTGCAGACCAGAGAAACCCACATGGAGAAAGTTGCCCTTTCAGCCTTGCATAATCTGGGTGTTGCTATTGTGAGCCAAGGCTCATGCCTAACGTCTGCTTTTCGGGAAGCAGCATGATGGGGTAATCAGAACTAAACTTGGCCTGGGGCTGGCCAGTTAACAAAGTACTTTCCAACCCTCCTAGGGATAACAGCTCTGTGGGAAGTCATTACTATTACCACTTCAAGGAGGAGGAACCCAAGAAGACCTGCCAAGGCTCCCCTCAGGCTGGGATCAATAAAGTTAGGGCCTGCCCTTGAATCCATTTTTGTCTGCATGGCATGACTGAACATGAACTCCAGGCCCTATCAATTCTGGTACATTTCCTAACTTGAACATGGGAGCCCTACACTTTGCATGTTAGACTTCCTGGTCTGAGCTTTCTTCCTAACTCACATAAGGACATATTTAAACTAATGGACATATGCCTCCCTTCTCTCTGTCTTTGAGGGTCTCGCTCCACAGATTGGGTCTTAGAAACATGGACATTGGCTGTTGGATTAAAACATTTTACTTTGTTAATAGCGTCTCACACATTGCGGAAGGGGCTTCAGGAAACATTTGCAAAGTCATTTTGTATATGTGAAAGTCACTTTGTGTATGTTCTAGAAGGATCACATACCAAAAAGAGAAACATTTCTATTTCATAGACTGTGATGGTTAATAATTCAGTGTGTGTCCTTCCGCATATTTTTGTACATACCTACTTGACTTTTAGGTAAATACTACGTGAGATAGCCAGATGATTGAATCTAGACATACAGTTATTTTGCCATGTGTGCCTACTCAGACACACATACAAATACATACACAAGGCTGATATGTGAGGAGGTCACTGAGGCAGGATAACTTTCTAATTAGGAAACATACAATTGTGAATCCAAAGATGCTGGCCAATTTTCTCAGCATTGTCTTTTTAGGTTAAGACTCCAGCCCCACATGCACACATTCATAATCAATTACATATCAGGTCAATTCCATTTGTCATCTCTAATAGTCATACAAGCCCTGTAACTGAGAAGTTAGAAAGCTTGCCTATGAGCAAACTGAAGTTCAGAGAGACTGTTTACCCATGTTTTCGCACCCAGGGAGTAGAAGAACTAAGACTTGAACCCACGTGTACTTAGATTGTGTTTGAGCAGTGTAATAGCTGCTCTCACACAGCCACATACCAGAACTGTGGAATATTTTTTGGACCAAAGGAAGTACGCTAGCCTAGGAGGCTTCAGGCTGAATGATGGAAGAAAAATGAAGCACCTGAAACCCATAGGTGAGGAATGGGCACCGGTCATATGGCAGGCTTCCACAATGGCAGAAGGCCCACCTGACAGCTGTGGGGATGAGGCAGGGCAGGCCGATCAGCACCAGGTCTAAAACAGCCTTCTCAGCCACCCTGGGAACACAGATGCCATACCCTGCAGGCACTGCAGAGTAGTGCAGTCACATCTGTGTTTTAGGAAAACAACTTTGGCAGAAAGTCACTGAATGATATAAAGGAGAGGGCAGGTAGATCAGTCAGGATGCTTCAGAAAATGTTCAGATCAAAGGCTTTCAAATAGGAAATGACTAAAGAGGAGAGATAGGTCTCCAGAATACAGGAAGTAGAATAAATAGAGCTTGGTGACTATAAATGTGGTATAAAAGGAAAGGGAATGGTAAACTCACAGGCTTAGGAAACGTAAATGGGAATGCCATTCAAAGAAAAAAGAGAAATGAGAGCAGGAACTAATTGGGAGCAAAGCTGGCTGTTGAGCCAACTTTGGGATGTTTGAGTTCAAGGTTCCTGGTCCCAGCAGGGGACTGACCTGTTAGATAAGGTGCCTCCTGTAGTGTGCTTACCATCGGCGCTTTGATGAGCTTTGGTCAATCTGCCTCAGCATTGCATCAGTCACATATGTTGTGTTCTGTAAGTTTTATTTTCTTGACCCCTTTTGTAGCTCTTCTAACAGTTCTTTATCTCTGATTACTGCAGAAATATAAGAGTACTTCATAAATCAATGCAAAATTTTAAAAACTACATACTTTCCATGAAGTTTTTGAAATATCCTCATGTTTTTTAGGGTTTCATTTTTTATTAGAATATATACCAAGAAGAAAACTTATTTTGCCTATTCTATCTTTGTTCAACATTTTACATCATTTGATTTTTTGTGGACAACTGCTTCTTAAAACCTGTTTAAACTCCTATAGATTCTATTACTGATACAAACATTAGAAAAATGAGTTATTAGCACTTACTTTTTAGGAAAATCAATTACAAATGTATGATTTGCAAAAGAAGCTGAACTGAAAAATGATAGCAATTTTTGCCTACTTAACAATGTTACACTTTCAACAGTAAAATGATATATGTTCACAGTCCCAGATCTAGAACTTGCTGGAAAAGTTTAAACATATGATTACCAAATATCCCAAAGATCAAAAGTTGAGGAAACTTCAGAAGTCATCTAGTTTCCATAATTTCATGTGCCAGACTGGGTAAACAAGGCCCAAAGAAGACAAACAATTACAGAAGGCCCAAGGCCAAGGCAGGTGGAGAAGTAGGTCTCCTGGCTGCTAGTCTTGTTAGACCGTGTTGGGCTCTGTCCGTGAATATAAGCAGACCCACATTCATGTCTTCCAGGTGGCTCCTTCTCTGTCATGCCCTGTGCTTCTCCCTGATGAAAGCTTCAGCCCACACTGTGGAGCTAAATGATATGTTCGGCCAGATCCAGTCACCTGGCTATCCTGACTCCTATCCAAGTGACTCAGAGGTGACATGGAATATCACGGTGCCAGAAGGCTTTCGTATCAAACTTTACTTCATGCACTTCAACTTGGAATCCTCCTACCTTTGTGAATATGACTATGTGAAGGTAAGCTCCCCAGTGTTCCCTACCTGGCCCAGGAGTTTTACTGGGAGTTAAGGAAGCCCAGGTGAAATAAACACTGTCCTTTCCCTCATAGGGCAGCATCTAGAAGGTCACGTTTGTGAAAGGTCAGCAGTGAGATGCGAATTGGGAAATAAATGGGTTGACTTAGAAAGGACCCTATTGAAAACTGACACTAGTAGTGTGTGACTCAGCTAACCACAGTATCCTTTGTTCTTTTCCATACTCAAAGTCTAATATTTCTATTACCTTCTGCTCCATGGTCCAAAGCAGAGAAGAACAGTCTCCAAAACAAGCAGAAATCCAACAGGAACAGAGCCGTAATTATGCACAAAGCTGCACTATTAGAAAGCATTGCTCAATTCCTGAAATAATAACCAAATGTTTGCAAATTGCAAGACAGAGGGTTCTACACAGTCAGGGCAAAAGTGGAAAGGTGAGTGAAGGTGTGGTTCTTTCCGAAAGACCTTGCCTGCCATGCTGCAGAGTTTGTGATTCATCAGCAAAGGCAGGGAGAACGGGTCATTAGACAGAACTACACAGAGAAGAGCAGCAGAGGATTATAGCATAGAAGCAACATTTCATGGAATTTAAAAGAACCCACAAAAATGGCCAAGATCGGGAAGTTGTTCTTGGTTTAACACAGAGCTGAAATCAGAGGGTTTTAGAGGGATCATATTTAATAAACCTGCTTCTGGTTCAAAATGATGTGGAAAACTAAGAATCTACTTTTTAAGCTCTCTCTGACTTCCCAAAAGAAGTTCTGCTCCAATCACTCTTTCATAATACCATATTTCCAGTATTATTGTAGTCATGCTTTACCTCAGCCAGTCATTTGGCAAGAGTTACTGTCATGTTAGCCAGAGTGCTTGAGCACAAGCAAAGTTATGAGTTTACAAGATGCTTTCTAGTCTCATCCAAACTCTAAAATAATCCGAGGAGTCAGGAACTACTAGTCTATTTCATAGGCAAAGAAACAAACTGAGGCAGGTCAAGTAGCTCAAGAAGAGCTGGAATGAGGTAGGTCAAGGTTGCACACTCACATCCTGTGATTTTGACTCCAAGGTTCTTTTGGCCACTAAATGACTTACCAGTTGTGCTTCTCTGAGCTTGAGGATACTGCAGGGATTTACAAAGGGGAAAGAAGCATGGTAAGAGGTGCTATGGGCCCCTTCTATGCTTCAGCACATTTTGTATGTAGGTTATTGTTATTGCATATGTTCCTTTTGTGTGAAGTATTCCATAGTGCTTCATGTTCGGGCTTCTCAGCCTCATCAGCATCTGTGTTTGGAACTAGACGATTCTTTGTTGAGGAAAGCTGTCTTAAGCATTGTAGGATTTTTAGTAACATCTCTTGCTTCTACTCATTAGATGCCAACAACTACTCCCCCTCTAGTCTTGACAACTGAAAAACTACCTCCAGATGTTTCCGGTATCCAGAACCATTGCTGCATGGGGTGCCCTGTGGTAGCAATGATGGGACTATTGTGAAACAAAAGATCTGGTCCATCTCAAAGAGACATAACCTTAGAAAACACAACCTCTGGCCAACACAAAGAAGCAGCTAACAACTCCAAATCAGACAGTCTCCCAATTTCTTCACATGAAAAAAATGAACATGATGTAACAGATAACAGTTCTCCATGCGTGCTTGTGTAGCTGACATTCTCCCAGGATACAATCATGTCATTATCCGTCACCTTGCCAAAGGGGTTCCAGCAGCCATGGAACAGAAGCAGGCCTCCCTGCACAGGATGCTGTGCCCATATGAGCCGATAATTGGCACTCACCTGGTCCAGGGTCCTATGTACTTCCTACATGCCTGGCAAGCTCTCCTTCTGAGAGTCAAGAAGTCATAGAATGTCAGGTGCAGACTACCCCTGGAGACTCATCTGATCCCAGGTTATCATTGTTCTTATTGCATTTAAAATAACTTCTCCCTCAGGAACATCTTCTAAGTAAATTCAAGGCCCTACATAGCAAGTAGACAGAAGTGGAGCTGCTTGGGCTGACTCAGGTACCACTGCTTACCAATTTTCCTTGGTCGCAGTGAAGCCCCTTAAGGCAAGATAACTTGAATCCTGCTGCTATGCTCAAGTTCCCACTGCACAGAAGAGGAGACTGAGGTCAGAATCCAGGGACAGGACTAGACCTCTCTGCCTCTGAACTCATACCCACAGCGTTCCATGCATAGTTGAAGCCTGTTCCTTTTTCTAACTGCCACCCTCTCCCAAGTCTCAGAACATGTGCTATTTCTAAGAACGAGGCCCACACTCTTCAAGTACTATCTGAATGAAAGCAAGGGTGTGTCATCTGAATGCACAATAATGCCAAATAAGTCAACACTCCTCTCCAAAATCCATGTCTTAATCTCTTCATGAGAGATTGGATGAGAATATTCCTAAATTGCCTTAAATCCCAGGATCTTAATCCCAATTTTCCCTCCCGGAATCTTGCAGGAGATCCCATCAAACCCTTATTATCATAGTCAAGATTCTCTTGGAAAATGGGGAGGCTGTAGCAACTACCTTTCCAAGCTCCATGGCCATAGCACCCAATTAGAGCCCACAACCTGCTTAGCATGTTGGTGGAGTGACAAGTGATTTGAGTGGAATTTGTAAACTTGCCTCACTCCCATTGGCTTTTGCCAAGCAACTTGCAGTATCGCTGATTTTTCTTTATGTGCTAATATCCTGTTTTGAGACATTTTACTCCATAACTCAATTCTCTTGGCAGATTGAGGAATGAATGTAAAAGATATTTCAGCCAATAGGAACTCCTATGGATGGTTCAGCCCAAACTCACAAACTTCCCTTCCTACCTATGCCCATAAGAGTGATCATGATGGAACTGTTGACAGCACACATTTGTATTTTAAAAAAAAGAACAGGCCTCCAAGCCCATGGGCCAGATGCTTGCTTATGACAATCTACCTACCTCAGCCTGATTTCCCATAGTATTTTGTTTTGTCAGGTGCATGCACATCTGCATAGCAGCATCTGCTTCCTTGCAATGTGGCTGCAGTAGTGGATACCAACAGTGCACAGAGGAAAAAACAAATCCTGAGGGCAAATGCAGCCAGCAAACGGCAGAGTACAGATGTTGGCCAAGGCAATGGAAGACCTAGGTTCTGCTTGTCATTCAACCCTAACTGTCCTTAGGCATGTGACTCTTTCTAGAAGGGACTTTGCTGCCTGCACTAAGTGGTCTCTATGGCTCCCCTCACCCTGAATGGCTTCATATCTAAAACCTTAGAAATCACAGTCTGTCTCCATAATCATTTTGTCCAAAGCCTAGGAAGAAGGAATTCAAGACTATGCTGGAAAGCAGAATTTACATCTCAAATCTCATACTCTCCTTGCATCCTAAACAATAGTGGAATTTCATCTTATGGATGAATAGGATTTTTTAATTTTAAGATAAGGCAAATGTTGCAGACAGTCAAATCTGCTCTTGAAAATTCCTTAAATGTAACAGAGCACTGCTTTTTCGTATGTCCAAAACAGCCTTTTCTGTTTCCAGAAATGTAGCACACTCGTTTTTGGTTAAGCACCAGATGGAGTGAGCAACCAGTACTTACAAAGGGGCTATAGTTACTAAAGAGGTATGGTTACTTAGAAACAAGAACCACCAAGAAAACAGAAGATGCACACACCTTATTTTCAAATTCATTTCATAACACCTGTTCATTTAAAAAGGAGGTCAGAATGGCTTGTCTTCTGTTTTTGTTCTCCCTTTTTCTCAGTGCTTGTTAAAGATCAATTGATGCTTATTAAATGTTCAGAAGACACAATGCCACTGTCCTCCTGTTAGCCTAGTCTCTTTGGCTTAGTCAACATTTCTACTATTGTTTTCCTTAGCTCTGTTTCTTCTTCCTCTCACCTAGTCTCTTGCCAATGGGTGATGACTATCAGACACCAGTCCCTCTCCATTTATCCATCCTCCATATATGTATATCCAGAGACTTTCTCAGAACTTTGTTTTGATTGTGTCACACTGAAAACCTATCAGCAGCTACCCACTTCCTATATTGGATGAAGTCCAAGAATTCTATTTAAAATCTAGGATAAGGTGGCCATCGCAAAAGGTTGGGTTCTCAAAGGTGGTCCCCACCCTCAAGGAATCCACAATTTCACAGCATGTAATGAAACAGGTGCATAACTGACAAAGCTGGACAAAGGAACTCAAGGGTATGAGATAGCAAGTTAAGTTAAGAAGCCATTTCTGGGTAGTGGGGAAAGGCTATGGAAACTGTTAAGGTAGGAGACAGGTCTTGAAGGGGAAAGATAACCCCATACTGCACTTTCTTTAAGCACTTTCCTGTACAGCTCCCGTAAAAGCATGGAGATACAGCAGGTTGGGATAATGAAAAACACAGGATACTCAGGATTGGTGTGTGTCATGGATATGTCAGAGAAAGGCCAAAGAAGGTTATCTGGAGGTGGACATAGAAAATTCTTGGTAAATGTGGGTTTAAGCATGTGCACTCAAAGCCACAAAGAGTCAAAATATTGAGCTAATTCTGCAATGAATTTTCTTGGCCAGCCAAGAAAATTCTATTGGCTCAGTTTGTGTTTTGAATAAAAACAAAAATGAATTATTGTCCACATAAAATTTCTGATCTCACACACACACACACAAAAAATCTGCATTTCCAATTTTACTTGGAAAATCTGGTGATTCTTGCAGTTTATTATGCACCAACAATCATCTGGAACAGGTAGAGGGGTCCTGAAAACAGACTCCTCACCATTCCCTGCAGCTCCTTCCCTGCTGCATGTGCCTCACATCTGGTTTGCACTATTGCTTCTCTTACAGTAAGCAAAGTGAAACATTCACTTCAGTGTCTTCACCAAAAGTAGCAAAGAGGAAAGTACCTGAGAATGACACATATTTAACAAAAAATCAATGCAAGATGTCTTCACAGAGTGAACAATATCCCATGAATTTCATGAGCCAAGTATGCTTTTATCTAACTACAAAGC